AGCTGCCATCCTGAAGGCTTCTGTTTAGCTGCCAACTCGCTCTACAGTTACTGTGCTTGGTAAATTTTTACTTGACAGTTCCTTAGGCACCTGGAAGTCCTACTCCAATTCATTCCCACAGCGGTCCTTGTTTAAACAGAGCCAAGCAGATCAGCTCCTGACACCTAAGCCTGACTCAGCTCCAGAAATGACAAGCTGGGCTTTTGGAGCAGAGGAATTTTACCTGCCTTCCCTGAGGAACTTGGGCCACCCCTATCTCACAACAGGCTCGAGCTCAGGCTCCACACAAAATGCCATGGTGGCCAGCTCTTTCTTTTAAAATGCAGCCAGTGGTGTGTTTTTTTTCAAAAACCTAATGAGTAGAGTTTCATGTACCTCCTCTGGCTCAGGAGATTCAGCTCCACCTCTTCCACTGGCTGAGTGCCCTGACCTGAGACAGAGGAGGGACTTAAACTCTAACTAAAGGACACTCCCCTTTGGGGTGGGGGCGATCCCCGTTCCACTCCTAGGACTGTACTTTTTTGACTTTATCCAATGACAATTTAATATAAAATATATGATCTGGCACCAGAGCATAAACCAAAACCCAGGTCTTTTCCTTCCTCACTAAGCTACAGAGATGGTAATTCTCAGCTTCTCTCTTCCCCGGACAGTCTTTGATGCATAGTAGCACTGCTTCAGCAGTGGCCCTAAACCCAAGTGGCTTGTATCCTACCAGATACAGCACTGTATGTGGAGGTGTGAGTTCAGCCCCTTTAAGCCAAGGAGGGAATTGAAGCTAGATCTCACACAGCTAGGGTGACTGTTCTAACTACTAGACTATTACATAGAAGGAGGTTGCTGTTTTCTCTAACCATGTTTTTAATGAAAGGAGTAAGCCCTGCTCATTTCCTTGAAATAAATGAACTTTGCTTCAGGAAAGATTCAGGAGACTGGATGCACACCTTGCTGGAGTTATTTGATCCCAGCAGTCTTTCCTGCCTAGAACAGAGAGTCTGGACCTGATGATCTCCAGAGGTCCCTTCCAGCCCTAAACGTCTGTGACACTGGATATGGAGATGAGAGAGGCACCTCCTGGCAGCCCTGGGTGGAGTTCCTAAAGGACAGAATTTAAAATGTATTCAGGTCTCATACAGAAGTGCTAAGCTCTCCTCATGCACTGTGTAAGGGATACAGACCCCTCAGGGCTCTGGATTTCAAGCGGGAGGCCAAACACATAAAAGTTAGGTACCAAAATGGCACTTCGACAAAATGGCAGATTGTGGGCATCAGAATATTGTAAATAGCTTAAGAATTAGAAGCCAAAAGTGAACGACAGTAACATTTACATGTCTTCCAAATAACTGGCCAGCAGTCAGTCAAAACTCCAAGTGCTCCTTAGGCCGCTTTTGAGGAAACAAAGTTTTCCAATGTAGGGCTGACATTGGCACCAGTATTTCATAAGGGACAGGAAAACATGTGATTTCTGAAAAAACAAGGCTGAAACATTATAATACAGCAACAAAAAGACTGCCAGTCTTCACTATATTCAGGGGAATTCTTACAGCCCATTGTGGCACCAGGACTAATGCCCCCAGAGGTCCCAGTAAATGATTTGCCCTTGTAGGGACGCTACACATTCACCTTATGTGAAGCCACTTTTGGGGGACCTAGTAATGGGGGGGGCATATCTGTGTCTTTGCTGATGCTCTGTTATTTCAGCATGAAATGGTGCAGTCTCCATCTGTGACCATTTCTCATTATCATGTTCAAACCTTTATCACCTCCCTAGTACTTCCAGCCACCTCCTTCCTAGCTCTGAAAGGCATGGACACATTAAAGCTAAAGCCTCAAGATGACATTTAAATGACAGCATGAATCATTTTATTATTGATCATTGTAATGAGTGAATTGGAAAGAGTAAGAAATGGAAAATGCTGCAGGAAAAGAAATGAAGAGACAAGAAAGGAAAAGAGAAGAGAACTAGAGAAAGGAGGATTGTAAAGAGCAGCAGCAAAATAGAGGAAGAAAGGTGAATGAGCTTGTTTTCCCAGTGAATGATGCTGAATGCAACAGGGAACTGAAGAAATAGTAAATAAGGATGACAGTTTAGTTAATATCTATGTGTATCAGCGTCTTTTTCTACCCTTGATCTTTACACAAACTTTCCATTGATTTCAGTCAACAACCAGACAGACAAAGAAAGGGGAGCCAGAGAAAAGAAAGCAGAAGGAAAGAGACCTATATCACTGTGGACATTAGGTCAGCAGCCTTGCAGCCAGAGACTAGAAATAAACCTCAATATCCTACTTTCCAGAAACTCAGCTTTAATTAACAACAACAACCAAAAAAAGAGTCCCTAGCTATTAGGGTTGTGAAGCAAACCTCAGAAATGTGTGCTGTGTCGTGGGAATCAGCAGAGAGCCTGGGAAGTGCCTCTGAGAGATGGGCACTGCTCCAACCTTTGCAGGGAGAGGTTAGGTCAGGTAGCCCCTGCTGATGGCTTTGGTGTCACCACTGTTAACTATTTGATTCCTCGTGTGAGAAAGAAGACACCCACCTGCGTGGTGTACTAGGAGGCATCTCGCAACCCGGTGCCTTGATTTGAAAGAGACCCCCAGCCCTTGTCGCCCACCACACCTACGCAGCGGGAGCCGGAGCAGAGCCCGCCGCCTCGGGCCAGGGCGCCGGGCTGCCCTGACCCGGTTTGGCCAGCCGCACTGCCTCCTACGAGCAAGCTCCCGTTTTTAGCCCGCTCCCGTGGGAGGGACTTAGCTGTGGGGTGAATCTCTCTGCTTCCCAGGCTCCGGTCTGCTTCCTGCCGGCAGAGCGCCTTTCTGGAGTGATCCGAGCAGGTGGAGGAGGCCGCCCTATGCTTTGGCAGCCGACGGAGTTCATTTCAAGGGACCAACTGGCAGACGAAGCGTTTATCCCTCGGCCTCGAAGAGCGGATCGGCTAGGGTGGCCTTGCCTAACATTCAGCTGAGCCGGGACTGACAGATGTGTAAGGGAGGTGGTGTGGATTTGGGGCCCGCCCTGCGCCGCAGCCCTCGCCATCACTCCCTGCGGCCGGCCCGCCGCACGGCTCCGTGCTGTCAGTGCGGGCTCGGCAAGGGCCTAACGCGTGGCCCCGGCCCAGCACCAGAGCAGGGAGGGAGCATGGGACGAGCTCCCCACACCCCGGGGCGGGCGGGTTGCCGGCCCGTGCACGAGCAGCGGGATCGGCCCGCACGTGCCTCTTTCCAGTGTCTGGTCTGCATCTGCCTGTTGAGGGGTGTCCTCGGGCCGGGGCGGCTGCGAGCAGACGCGGGCCCACAGCTCTGGGGCAGCACACGGGAATGAGGATGCCCCTCGCATCCCTCCTGCAACGCCGTCCAGAAACCCGAGCCCTCCTGCCCTGGTTTTTGGTTTGCTTTGCTTTTTTGTTTTTTGCATCGGTTCAGCACGAAATGTTCCGGCGCTGATGAAAGCCCGCAGATCAGCTCAGGGCTGGGCCGGGCCCGCTCGCCAGCCCGGCCCCGTCCTCTCCCCGGGGGCTGCATGTCGCACAGCCCCGGGGCACCGCAAGGGCCAGGCAACGCGCACAAGGGCTGCCCGGCGCCCCGGGACCGGGGAGCTGCTCGCGGAGCGCGGCACCGCCCCGCT